GTTTGCCCCACACTGCAGAAAGGGGGTTTTGGGCCCCACTCCTCCTTTACGGGCCCTTCTCCAGACCCTTCAGGTTTGGGGCTGTCGGGGAAAAAAACAGACTTTCAGCTCCCCCCAAAAGATTTTTATTGGGTTAGGTCTGGAGGGTAGGCCCCCCAGGCCTTTGAGATGTTCTTACAAAAGAAAACCCTGGGCCAGGGGGTTTGTGTTTGGGATCATTGCCCTGCTGAAAAAAAACCGCCAGGGTTCATTTTTAAATGCCTTGGGGGGGGAAAAGGGTTTTAACTAAAAAATCTCGCGTACAGGGCCCCCCATCCACCCTCCCCCTATAGGGTTTCCCGTCTTTTTTTCCCCCTTTTGCAGAAAAAGCACCCCAAAGAATGAGGGTTTCCACCTCCATGCATCAGGGTTTGGGAGGGTTTTGGTCTTGGGGTTTTTTACTATCCTTTTCTTCCCCAAAACACGGGAATTTGGAAAGGTTAGTTTTACCCCAAAAAGCTCTTTTTTTTGGTTCATAGCCACATACCTTCCCCCTTTTCCTAGGGGATCCCCCCGATGGTCTTTGGCAAACTTAGACGGCCTGGAAAATGCGTAATTTAAAGCAGGGGGACCTTGGTCCCGTGGGGTTTTTTAACCTTTGACGGCGTGGGTATGTTCCAATGGTTTTTTTTGGGACTGTGGTCCCAGCTCTCCCCGGGGTCATTGACCGGGTTTCCGGCCGTGTAGTTCGGGCTGATCCCTAAACCTTCCTCATGACCCTTGTGCCCCACGAGGGGGGAGATTTTGCATGGACCCCCCAGCCCGAGGTTTTGACCGCATCTTAAAACTTTTTCCCTTTTTCTAATAATTGCCCCAAACCCGTTTTTTCCCTTTAAAAAACAAGCTGTTTTGGCCTTTTGTCCTGAACCCACCCCAAAACCCTTGGGCAGGCAAAATTTTACCCTGATTTTCCTTACACAGCCTCTGGTTTTGGGCCCTTTGGGGGGAAAAGGTTGGAGTTGCTTGATTGATTTGTGGGGGACAGGTGTCTTTTAGACAGGTAAGTGGGGGAAAAAAAAAAGTATTTAGTCAGCCCCCAATGTGAAAGTTTCCCACTTAAAAAATGGGGAGAGGCCTTAATTTTACCCTAGGTACACGTCAATTTGGACAGACAAATTGACAAAAAATTCAAAAAAACCCCACATTGTAGGATTTTTAATGAATTTTTTTTTCAAATTATGGGGGAAAAAAAAAGTTTTTGGGTTTCACCAAACAAACAACCCAATTTTTCGGGCTCCCCCACAGACGGAAAATTTTCTTCTTTAAGGGGTCCTCTGTCCTCCACTCGTTCCGTGTTTTAAATGGCCCCTTTTTAAAAAATTGGGTTATCAGTAAAAAAGACACCTGTCCCAACCTAAAAACACCCACACCCCAAAAACCCCACAAGAGATTTTTTCCCCCAAAAAAAAAAATCACTTTGTGGGATTTTTTATAAAATTATTTGCAAATTAGGGTGGAAAATAAGTTTTTGGGTAAATATTTTGTTATACCCTTTTGTTGGCAATGACACAGGTAAAACTTTTTCGGGGAAAGGGTTTTCAAAAGGGTTTTTCACACATTTTTGGGGTTTATTTTGGCCCTTTCCCCCAGGCAGATCTCCTTTAGGGGCAGTGATTTTTTGGGGTTGTGGGGGAACACGGGATTTTCCCAACCCCCTCCAAAGATTTTCTATGGGGTTTGTTGAGATCTGGAGAGGGCTGGCCACTCCGGGGACCTTGAAATGTTTTACAAAACGCCATTCCTTTTTCACTCAAAAATCTCCCGATCCCGGGCCCCCATTCATTCTTTCCTTTAAAAGGATCAGTCGCCCGGGCCCCTTTTGAAAAAAACACCCCCAAAAGCTGATGTTTAAACCCCCATGCTTCACAGGGGGTATGGGGGTTTTTTGGAGGCATCACCATTCTTTGTCCCCAAACACAACGAAAGTTCTATTTTGGTTTTCATCTGACCATATGACATTTCTCCCAATCCTCTTCTGGATCATCCAAACTTCAGACGGGCCTGGACATGTACTGGCTTAAGGCAGGGGGACAGTCTGGCAACTGCAGGATTTGAGTCCCTGGCGGAGGCGTAGTGTGTTATGATGTAGGCTTTGTACTTTGGTCCCAGCTCTCTGCAGGTCATTCACTAGGTTCCCCCCGTGTTGTTCTGGGATTTTTGCTCACCGTTCTTTGATCATTTTGACCCCACGGGGTGAGGGAGATTATCAGTGGTCTTGTATGTCTTCCATTCCTAATAATTGCTCTCACAGTTGATTTCATTCAAACCAAGCTGACTTACCTATTGCAGATTCAGTCTTCCAGCCTGGTGCAGGTCTACAATTTTGTTTTGGTGTCCTTTGACAGCTCTTTGGTCTTGGCCATAGTGGGAGTTTGGAGTGTGACTGTTTGAGGTTGTGGACAGGTGTCTTTTATACTGATTACAGTTCAAACAGGTGCCATTAATACAGGTAACGAGTGGAGGACAGAGGAGCCTCATAAAGAAGAAGTTACAGGTCTGTGAGAGCCAGAAATCTTGCTTGTTTGTAGGTGACCAAATACTTATTCACCACCATAATTTGCAAATAAATGCATAAAAAATCCTACAATTGATTTAATGGATTTTATTCCTCAATTTGTCTGTCATAGTCGACGTGTACCTATGTTGAAATTACATGCCTCTCTCATCTTTTTAAGTGGGAGAACTTGCACAATTGGTGGCTGACTAAATACTTTTTTTCCCCCACTGTAACGAGTTCAAACAGGTGCAGTTAATGCAGGTAATGAGTGGAGAACAGGAGGGCTTCTTAAAGAAAAACTAACAGGTCTGTGAGAGCCGGAATTCTTACTGGTTGGTGGGTGATCAAATACTTATGTCATGCAATAAAATGCAAATTAATTACTTAAAAATCATACAATGTGATTTTCTGATTTTTGTTTAGATTTCCGTCTCTCACAGTTGAAGTGTACCTATGATAAAAAATTACAGACCTCTACATGCTTTGTAAGTAGGAAAACCTGCAAAATCGGCAGTGTATCAAATACTTGTTCTCCCCACTGTTTATTCATATTATAATTTTTTTATATAGCACCTTGCACTTTTACTTTTTGTATTCTTTCGAGCATGGATTAAATGAATTATATAATTTTTTCATCTCGGCCTCCTTGGGTTATTCCTCTTCATGGTTTTGAGTGCGAGTACCTTTTGAACTCTTTTGAAGATATCAACATCCTGCCATTTCCCTCTGCATTTACAGTATATGCCAACCTTTACAATAACCGTTATGACTACTAAAAAATGCGGTAGATGATACTGTAGATGATTACATTTAAAGTTATTAAATGGTTTATACTCAAACATATGATAAAAACTGTTGACAAGTGATTCTTTCTCCACTTGTCGTTGCTCATCACTGAGTCATCCTAATTAGAATCCATTAGGATTATCAAGCCTTTATCAGACGCCATGTTGAAATCTCTGTTTCCTCACCGGCAGTATCTTTGACTTGGCCTCAGGAATGGGGGGAGTTCTAGAGGTCAACTAAACATTGCTGCTGTGGTAGATGTTCAGAGTTGTAAGTTGAGTCCAGTCAGGAAGGATGTCAGCCCGTGGGTAGTCAATGCAGGCAGCCAAACAGACGTCTATAGTGTTGCTTCCCATCACATAGACAGACTGTCTGTCTGCCTGTTATCCCCATGAGACTGTGCATATCCTTAATAAAAATACATAAACCCAGTAGTGGGTTAGGCAAATTATACACACTGTTATAACACAAACCCAACTCAATGAAATGCACTTGAAATAGAGGTCGACTTGAATAGTACGTTTGTCAACTGTTAGCTCACAGTGTTATGACTAATTCATAAATTATGCACGCCACTATTCATGACAACAAATGCTTGATGTGGGTGTTAGCCAGACATTTCAAAGGAATTAAATAAACATTTTCAAAGCCAGCTCAGTATCTGTTGTTTTAATGAGAGCTTTCTGCTTCCACATTCTCTATTTACTGTTTGCAGCCCGGGGCTGTGGGCTCTCGTGCCTTCTCAGGAAACCCTTATCTGTCTGACCAACACAATAGGATGTCTAAAAGAGGGAGGGAGAGAGAGGGAGAAAGTTTCCAAGTGGGAAATTCCAGAGGAGCCTACTCATGCCCTGGCAGTGCAATAATGATGAATTCCGGGAAACGTGTCTTTGGCCCTTGTTGTAGTGTGGGCTGGTGTGTGTGTGTATATATGTTCACAGAGTACCAGAGAGCAGTATCATTTCATCCACTGGATAAGACTAGAGACACATCCTTTGGAGATTTACCTGCAAAAGAGCATCACATTTTAAAACGTACAATGGTAAGTACTGTTGAGAGAATTGATTTATGCCTTAAAATTAAGATGCAACCAGTTAGTATATATTTAATTTCTGACAGCTAATGCATTTGTCAGTCTGTAAAGTATAGCTTGATGGTGTCTCCACAGGACTTCTGCTCTGGATCACAGCAAGCCAGAAGCCACGGCTCATGGATCACCCTCTTCCTCCTGTGGTCAAGTAAGAAACACATTTCAAAAGATCTACGCTTTCTAACATAATAATAATAATAAATAATAATATGCCATTTAGCAGACGCTTTTATCCAAAGCGACTTACAGTCATGCGTGCATACATTTTTGTGTATGGGTGGTCCCGGGGATCGAACCCCACTACCCTGGCGTTACAAGCGCCGTGCTCTACCAATTGAGCTACAGAGGACCAATCATGTTAAACTCCAAGAGAAATATGATACAGTACAAAACATATGTTGAGCTTGAATACATCATTATGCATTCATTCATTCATGTACTGTATATCAATATTGACCTTTTTTTTTTATGTCATTCCTCAGTTCTCACCATGTGCTGTAGAGTGGAGGGCTGGTCCTATCATCACTCTAACAAAAATATGGACTGGGACACTGCTTAGAACGTGGGTGCACGGAGCGCTACACTGACATGGTGGCCATCCAGAACCGCGGAGAGATCTCCCACCTTAACAGCATCCTGCCCAGACAGGTCAACTATTACTGGATAGGATCCGTAAGGTGGACGACGTGTGGACCTGGGTGGGGACCAAGAAGACCCTGACTAAAGAGGCAGAGAACTGGGCAGACGGAGAAACCCAACAACGGCGGGGAATAACGAGGACTGTGTGGAGATGTACATCAAGAGACAGAAGGACGCGGGGAAGTGGAACGACGAGTCGTGCACGAAGAAGAAGACGGCTCTGTGCTACACAGCCTCGTGTCAGAGCCACTCATGTACCATGGAGAGTGTGTGGAGACCATCAACAGCCACCGCTGCGAGTGCTTGGAGGGCTTCTACGGAGAGCAGTGTGAACACGGTAAGCAAGCCCAGGACGACGTAGTCCAATAATCTAATAAAGGCAGTATGAAACCTTACTGCATTCTTCTATCACATTCAAAGTTCTCTTAAATGTAACTCCTTGCCTGTTTTTTTTTGTCGGCAGCTGTCGAATGTAAGATGGAGGAGGTAACTGTCCCTGATAAAGCCAGCGTCAGTTGGGTCTCCCCCCCAAAGGGAATTTCTCCTTTAAACCCCGAGGGAGTTATTTCCCGTGAGGAGGGGGACCGGCTGAGCAGCTCCGGGGGGTGAGGTTTCAAGCCTCAGGCCCTGGTCGGAACAGCCCCCCACCTTTTGAATGTAAGTAATAAACTTAAAACTTAAAAAAGGGTTTGGGAAAGGGTTAATAAGATAAAAAAATAACAGGGGTGCCGTTTTTTCGTAAACTTTTGATTTTTTACTTTTGAATTAATTAGGTCTTTCTATCAGTCCTTTTTAACCCGTTGACAGCTTTAGACCACTTGTATTAATATAAATGTATATTTAAATTTTTTTTTATTATAAAATTTATTTCAGTTATTGTCTTAAACGTGGCACATTTAGTCAAAGTATTTCGATCTTTCCCTTCCTCCTTTAAGGGGGGGTTTTTGCCGTGAGCGTATACCTGGGAAAGGGGTTTCCCTTTACCTGCCTTCATCCCGGGTCCTTAGTTTCCTGTCCACCTGTACCTTTACCGGAGGAAGGCATGAGAAGGGGGCCTCCAAAATTTTGCTACCCCGCGTGTGGAGCCTGGGACTTTGGAACGACCACAGCCCAGGGGTTGGGGCGTACGGGTTTTGGAACTGAAACCCTTTTCCCCCATAACCCTGTTATATCAACAGTAGTTTCAATAAAAAGAAATTTAACAGGAATTTCCTTCGACATATCTACAGGGGAAAATAGAGCTTTTTTAAATTTTATGACGTCCAGAATTTTCTCGGAAACCCGCTGACCACTGCACCCCTATTCCCCTTTTGTTTGCAGCTGTTTAACTGGGCCTTTCCCCCAGCAAACCAAAAGGATGGCCTTTTCACCTGGGGGGAAGGGCTTAAACCTTAAGCCCTTTTTTTTTTTTTTTTTTTTTTAAAAATGTACTTGGTTTTTGGGTTTGGGTTTTTTTTGTGGTTTTGGGGTTTTTTTTTCTTTTTTTTTTTTGAAAAGTTAGCGAGTCCCCAAAAAGGGGGGTTAAACTCCTCCAAAAAGGGGGGGCGGGGAAACGGGGGGGGGAACCCTTTTAGAATGAGGGGGGAGGAGATTAAAAACCGCCCCCCTGAAAGGAAAGGACACTTTTTAACTTCCTTTTTAAAGAGAAATTTTTTTTAACCCCCATTGTCTTATTGACAAGGGGAAGGGCCCTGAAACCGCCCCTACCCTGGGAAAAAAATTCCTCCAAATGTAACCACCCGGGGGGAAGGGGAAGGGGGGGGCCCCAAACCCACCCCAATTTTGGGAGGCCCGGGGTTGGTGGGAAAGACCCAAAGGAAATGGGGGTCTCTTTGGTATCTGTTTCCCCCTTAAAAAGGTTTTAAAAGATTGCAATTTATATGAATTTCCCGGAAATTTTTTCAAAATTCCCCAGGGGGTTAGAGTTGGTTTGTATGAAACCGGGGAAGGGGTTTCCCAAGACCCGCCCCATTTCCCTGGGCTTAAACTTACCCCCGGGCCCCCCTGTCCTTTACCTGGGAGAAGGCTTAATGGAAAAGGGTTTGCCTCCGAGGGTTTTTCCCCCCAGGGGGCCCGGGGACTGTTTGGGGGAAAGATACCGCACCGTGGGGGTAAAACGGTTTTAAATTTTTTTAAAATTACCCCAAAAAAAATTTTTATATTAAAAGAGTTTTTCCCCAAAAAAAAAAAATGACACAAAAAGGGACATTTTTTTTAAAAAAATTTTTTTTACAGGGGCCATAAGGCTTAAATTTTGGGGGAAAACCCTTTTTTTTTAAAGGACTGGGGAAAAAAAACCCCCAACCCTGGGTTTTCAGCTTTTTTTTGCTTCCCTTTTTCCCCCCAAGAAAAACATTTTAAAAGGGTTATGTGGAAAAAACCTTTTTGGAAAGGGTTTTGTTTAAATGCCTTTGGGGTTTTTTTCCAAAAAGGGGGGGACAACGGTACCTTTTTCCATAAATCTTATTTTTAGGGATCCCACTTTGGAAATTAAAAACAACTTTTTAAAATTTTTAAAAAACTTTTTAAAACCTTTTGGGATTTTTTATTAACCCCGGGTTTTTTAAACCCTGTTCCCTTTGGCTTCCCCGGGGGAAAATAGCTTGGCCCCTTTTAAAAAAAAATTTTTTATTTGCGCCCTTTTTATAGGGCGACCACAAAGGGGGCCCCCAAAATTGGTTTTTTTTCCAATACCTTTGGGCCCCAAGGTTTTTGGGAATTTTTTGGGGAAAACCAAACCCAAACCCGGGTTTCGCTTTTTGGGCCCCCAAAAAATATTTTTTTTAACCTGTTTTAAAAAAAAAATGGAATGAAATGTGAAAACCTTACTTTGGGGGGTAAAATTTGCCCTTTTTCGGGTTTTTGGGGAATCCAAAAGGGTTGGCAAGGATCCCTTTTTTTTAAAAATTTTTTTTCCCCCGGAAAAAAATTTTTTTTTTCCCTTTTTTTTGTGGAAAATTTCCCCTTTTTTCCTTTCCAGGGCCAACCGGGAAAGGGGGGGGGCCCCGTGGGAAACCCCACTTATTATAGGGGGTTGAAAAAGGGGCAGGGGGCGGGGGGGTGGTTCCAAAATTTTTTTTTCCCCCGGGCTTTTGGGCTTTTTTTTGGCCGGGCCCAAAGGGGGTCCCTTCAAAAAACGGGGGGAAACAGGGCAAGGGGAAAGGGGTGGGGGAAAACACAAGGGGGAAAAAGGGAAGGGTTTCCCCCTATTTAAAAAAACGATTTCCACAGGGGCATTTTCCAGGAATAAGAAAGTAAAAAGAAATTCAAAAATAAAATCTGTTTCCTTAAAACAGGTTTTATTTAGAATGGCATTTTTTTGACAAACTCACAAATGCTTTCTTTTCTCCTTCCAAACTTTAAAAAGTTTGGTCTGAACAGCACCCCAGACAGGGGGAACCTTTACAGCCTTTTCAGGAAAAAAGCATGGGCAGCCTCATATAGGATCAAACAACAAAAAACGCGGAAAAGGCTTGCTCTGTTTTCAAAGAAGATCTGTGGTCAACCTGGGGGTCACAGTTCCCCAGTATTGTAAGTAGTAGGTTAGAATAGCCTTTAACGTCGGGCTGGGAGGGGGGAGGGGATGCTAAGTTGAGTATACAGAATATCAGTTTTCTTATGGTCCTACAGAAAAGTTTTTTCCCCTGAGGGAGGGTTTTTTAAATTTAAAAAATTGTTACAATTTGGTGGGTTTTAATGACCCCAAGTGGCCACATTTTTATGATAATGAATTTTTTACAGCTATTTAATACAAAAATACGAAAGTTTGTTATTGTTTTTCCACTGTAAATTTTTTATTTTCAAAATATATTTTTTTGGTTTTTTTCAAAAATGTGAAAACAATGCCTTTCAGTATTTAAGTGCATTTATTGTGTGTTTTTTGAAATTTAAATTTTATTTGAAAAAGTCTTTTTAAATATAATTAAAAAGTTTCAAAAATTGCCCCAATTTAAAGTTTTTTTATTTTTCCATTATTTTTGTCCAAGGGTTTTTATAATAAACTGCCCAAAAAATTGTCCATGGGTATCTGGGCAAATGTACCAATGGGGAGCAAAGTGATTTCGCTAAGCCCCGCCCCCCCCTTTGGGTTTCGTTGAAAACCCGACATTTTTTCCCCGGGGAAACCCCAAAACCCCATTCAACACTGGGGGGAAATCCCCTCAGAATGATCTCCAAAAAGGTTTCTAATAAACAAACAAATTTTACACGGACTACCCCTTTCAAATCAGGAAAATTGGGTTTTTGGGGTTTGGTGGACCTTTTCATTTCAATTGCTTTAAAAAAAATCTGGTTTTAAAAAAATGTTTGCCATGAAGCCCGTTTAAAAGGTCTGAATTTAAGTTTAGCATGCAGGCAAACTTTTAAAACCCAAAAAGGCCACCCGTATGAAAACAGGAAAAAAATTTCTTTTCCAAAGAAATCCCCGGGAAAAACTCGTAGGTGATGTCATGGCAATGTTGGGGTAGCTAAAATCAAAATAGAAAAAACGTCATCGGGGGCTAAAATGTTTCTCGGAACCCCAACTGCGAGTGTGGCCCCTCAAATCAAAGGCCTCCCGATTTAAAAGAGAGGGGAAAAAAGTATTTTATCCCCCCCTGATTTTGTTTCGTTTGCCCCTGACAAAAAATTGTCAGTTTTAATTGTAATGGGAGGTTTTTTTGAAAACCGGGGGAAGGGCAGAAAACCAAAAACAAAAAAACCCGGGAAAACGCATTCAAAAAAATTTTAAAAAATTGATTTGCCTTTTTAATTTAGGGGAAAAAAGTATTTGACCCCCTCTCAACAGAAAGATTTTTTGGCCCCAGCTGTCTTTTATAAGGTAACGAGCTGAGATTTGGAGCACACCCCTTAAAGGGAGTGCTCCTAATTTTCGTTTGGTTTCTGTATAAAAAAAACACCTGTCCTTCGATATAAATTTTTTGGGGATGAAAATAAAAAAAAAGTTAGTAAATTTTACGAGGTTTCGTAATAACTCCCCAAACTAAATTTTTTTATTTTTCTTTTAATTTACTCTCAAAAATCCCGGGTTGGTTTTGTTTTGGGAAGGGGGTTTAGGAAGTCTGCGATTTTCGCCGGCCTCTGGGGTTTGAAAAAGGGGCTATAACCACTTTTGGGGGCTAAGGTAGTTTCTCTCAAAACAATTTCCCGAGTCGACAACCAAAATGGGAGTTTTTTCCAAAAGTTGCTAAAATTTGCTAACTAACATACATTTTTGGAAAAAGGTTATATTTTATTAAGGGGTAGTTAGCTAACCCTTTGAAAAGTTTTTTGGTCAATTTAGACTGGAGCAAGCAAACCCCGCGGGAAATGCAAAAATTTTAAAAAAAAAAAGATAATTTCGTATTTTAAAAAAAAAACTCCATCAACGGCTCTGCCTTTTAGGAAATTACGGTATAAAATACCCTGGGGCACTGTTTTTAAAATTTTTTAGCCATTTTTTTAATAAATTTTTAAAAGAAAACAGTTTTTTCAATGCCCCAAAATGGCTTTTAGCGATTTTTTTAAAAGTGAGTCAACTTTTTGAGGTGTTGGACTCGATGGGCTTTTCCTCCATGGAGCGCTTTTCAATTTGGTTGGCCCAAAAATTTTGGGGGGGCCCTTTCTTAGCC